AAGATAATAAATACCAAATTATATTTTGTCAGCAGCATATAAGAAAGCAAAGCATTTAATTATGTAAGTAGGTGAAGATCATTCAAATGAATGGAATAAAATTGGAAACAAATTATTGGAAAAAATAGGATGGCTCTTTTTCGTCAGTCAGAGCAGCTATATCCAGTTTGCTAGATATAGCTTCATATTATTCTTTTCTGGTCCAGTGTGGTTCCTTTCCCTTTATTGACTAGTTTGCTTTCAGGCCATACACTCCAAAAGTTTAAGTTGTTTGTCTGATCCTGCAGGGAACAGGCCAAACAGATTTGAAAAAGTGAAATAGCAATATTTATTAAGAATACAGCATACAAGGCAAAACTATTTATGGACACGTTATAGCCTGAACTCCAGGGGACAGGTCCAGTCAATGATAGAACAATGCTTTTATAGTTTAAATCACTCTAGAGATACTTTTTCATGGGCCTCCATCTTCTTGGTTATTTGTCATACACCTTGGCATGTCTTCCCTGTATTCACACCTTATCTCTAGATTGCTCTTGAAAGGCCTCATCTTTCTCCTATTTGAATCCCTGTTGTTACTGCGTACATAGTACTAGAATGCTTAATTGTAGTTTGTTAGCATCTAACTCGATTTTCTGATTCTGCATGTTCCTATACCATCTATTTCACGCGTCAGCTTCTTTACAAAGCATGAAAAACTTGAAAAGGATTTTTCTCTCAGTGTCCTGCAAGCTCTGTGAACACAAAGATTTTTCCTTGTTTTTCCAAGCACTTATTCTTATCCATGACTTCCAGTAAAGACATTTCCTCTTATATTTTGTAAAACTGAAATTCACAGAATTTCACCTTCAAATATAAGAATTTAGAGAACGTTCTTAGAAACAACCAGGAAATACATACTCAGGGGTGGGGAAGCTCTCAAACTCATTTTTAAATGACTTTCCAAGAACCATGCCGCTTTTTCTTTTAAAGGATTGCAAAACAAAATGTCAAGTATTCAAGATCTTGTAAGTTAAAAGGATCACTATTTTCTCAGCATAATCTTGTAAGCACACCTTCATGTATAGGTTTGTGACGAACCACTGTCCTCCACTATGTAAATATGAGTGCACAGCTAAGTCAGTGTTGTGTTCATACAACAAGCATTGATTTCAACCTCTCTCCCTCCAAGCTCAGCCAGAATCCTCTTAATGGTTTCATGCACCATCCAAATGAGCAACAAATAGCTGCATGCCCTGTGCAGCATATCCCAGAACACCCAGCTTTTGTTGCTCAGTCCTTGTTGAAAGCCACTAAACAGCACTGCCAGTAAGAGGCCAGTCTGGATCCTACAAAGATTCTGCCTAATGCCTTATTTATCCTGTATGTAAATATTGAATAACCAGAGAGGTTTAAGACCGTTCAGTTAAATGGAGCAACAGAAAGTTTTTGTTTAAAAGGAAGAAAACCCTAAACCCAATGGTCTTTGCCTGTCACATAGATAAGTCCGCATACACCCAGCAGGCATTGAATTCACCTTCACGGACCTCAAAAGAGTCATGCTTCCTCTGCACTGTTCACCACCACCCTTGAAATAACTTGAAATAAGCTGAGGCTAATGCTCCACCTCAGTGCTAGTCCAGGTAAGTAGGACTTGCAACAAAATGTTGCAGTGTGGAGTGCTTCTCTAATCAGTCATGTATTCTTCCCAAACACTCCAATCCCCTCCACCGCTTAAAGTTTTTCCCTTTCTGACAGCTGGCATTCCATGTCCACTGAGCATGCTCAATCCTCATTGGTTTGGTTTGGTTCCCCCCCCCGCAAACATTGTTCAGTACTTCTGCAAACCTCTGCGTTATCCCATGCATGAATCTGACAGATGCATAGATGGTGCTATTTCAGTTACATCAGGAAAATTCCACACAGTGGAAGTACCCTGATAGGGCAATTTTCCACACAGTGGAAAATTAGTTCACTATTATCTATGATTTTGCACTATGCAAAGGGCTTGATTTAAAAATAAATCAAAAGCTAGATAGAGATATTATCTTTGACAAATAACACTGCCATGGTGTCTCATTCTTCAGAGTTTTTCCTCTGTAAACATGAGGAAGATGTCACAAAAGCCACTGGCAACCTTCCTTTTATTACCTTCTGCCAGCCCCAACAGAAATTACTGGTGATCAAAATCTAACCACTCATCAGTGACTCTGGATCACATAAATTGAATCACTGCAATCTTCTGCACTTCCCTGAAAGAAATGGCATCCTTTAAAATGGACAATCATGCTATTAGTAGCAGTAGTAGCATTTATTAATAGTCATTGTTTCAATTTGCCTGAACAGTAAGCATGCATTCAATATTGTTTGTTAAAATATCATAGAAGAAATAATCCAATATTATTGTCAAATATATGCATTTTAATGTGCATAGCTTAGGATTCTAATGCATATTTTAGGCACATTTATCACTTTTGAACCCACAAGCAGCTTTCTTCATCTACTTATTATACTCTTCTTGCTTACTCTTCTTTAGTTGTGGGCATATGTTTGATGGAGATTTTTCTTGTATTTACTGATTCTATCCTTGAAGCTTTGTCAAACTGAATTGACTCTTTATAGGCATGAACTACCAATATAAGATGCTTTCAGTGCTTCAAGTGAACTTTTGCAAGGTTTTGCACATGTCTGATTTCTCAGGTTTGTAAAAGATCAGTCACCTCAGGTTAATTAGCAGCTAGGTAAAATACACAACAAACAAGATTTCTAATCTGGAAAAGGCCTGTCCAAATCAGGAGAGAGAAATGTGTGTTTCCTTAAATAAACTATCTGCTTTCAGATAGGTTCAAACTATACAGCTGACATAATTATATGATATGGTAAGGGTTGCAATATTTTCAGATTTAACTAAACTGAAATGCAAAAAAAAGGTGCAATCCTATGCCTGTTTAGACAGAAAAAAATTCCTGCACCTCCAGTATTCCCAGCTAGTCATGCTTGCTGGGGCATCCCAGGAGTTGTGGGATATTATTTCGTCTAAACATGCATCTTAAATTGATAACCCACTGACACAACTATCTCATTTTATCTAGATTTAGTCCCCCCACATGCATTTTGTATTCTTTTTCAACAGTGGAGAGGCAATAAGAGCAGAACTGATGAAAAAAATGTGTATTAAGCCAGGCATCTGGCAATTAGAAGATACCTGATAAAAGTGTGCATGAATCATTGCTCCAAGTTGCTGTTTTAATTTCTCTTTAATGTTGAACTGCTATGCCTCCAGTAAAAAGTTGCTAATTAAAAAAGCATTTCAGATTAGACTTATTTTCCCTATAAACATGGGTTTAATAAAAAGTGAAAAATTCCCCAACCTTTTATCACACTTAAAGAAAAATCAGCATCCTTTACTCAACATAATCTAATTTGGATTATTTACCACTGAGGCTCATCCTAGTTATTTACCCATCCTAGTTAACAGTTAATTAGATGACAGAATAGTAAAAAGGTTCATGCAGATGTAACAAGGAAATTAGGAATTCTAAATTGACATTTTGATAGTGAACACAGAGCTAGATAATGTACAGTCTAAAATATGCGAAATTGTAGTTATATGCTGCCTGGTATACAAGATAGTTAAAAGATATGACCAAGTAACTACATTGTGTTATTCTATTTCAATACTACAGGGCTGATGCAGGAATGAGGGAGTGCAAGGGTGTGTGCAACTTGGCTCTGAAAGACTAAGGCCTATTTTGCTCACAAGTGCACCGCAGGACTTTAGATAACTCACGCTCAGCCTATATCCTTACCAATGGTATTGATCCTGATAGGACAAAGAAGGGCTGGATGAACCAGGTGTTCTGTGTCTCAGCCTTTTCATGTGATCGGCAATCTTGTGGAAGGGTAGACTAGGGCTGCCTCCTGGTTTTTCTGGGCGCTGTCAGGTGAAGCATGCTTAGTGGTCCCCCTTGCTCGGCAAGGAGGTGGTTGTCACCAGCAGCTACTGCTCCTTATAACGCATTGCCACAACTTGCTCCTTTGGCAAGTGAACATCTGGTGCTCCTCACCACCACCACCACCTGCGTCTGGGCCAGAGCCAGAGGGAGGTGAATCAGCAGGTTGCCATGGTAAAGAGGAAGAGAAGTGCAAAGGGCTCTTGCAATGGGACCCAGCAACATGCAGACCCTTGGCAGGGGCCCAGTTACGCCTGCCTTTGATGTAAGCATGATCTCTCCTCCCCTCCCCTTCAATCTGGAGGTGAAAATATGGTAGAATCATCTTGCTAACACGTGGGTTCTTCAAGGGGGTAAACACAATATGAACCGGGCAGCATGTGATGCAAAAGCTTCTGCCATAACCAAATTGCTTGAGTTCGCTTTTAAGATGCCACAACCTTTTGTCGTTTTAGCTGCCACTGAGTAAACCGGCTAACCATCTGGTGAACTGCCCCAGTACAAAGTGCAAAAAACAAACTGCTAATGAGAAACTTCCCCCTTTCTGTGAAGCGGCAGTTGCACACGGCTGTCAGCGTTCGTGATGGAGCTTTGACACTATAAACTCTCGGACACGTACTAGGCTGTGTACCGGTGACGGGGACCAAGACACGTTCCCTGAGCCGGTCGGCTGGAAATGCACGGCCTACAGCGAGCTATAGGAAGCGCTCCCCCGCTGATGCTCCATTGCGTGTGATGCTCTGAGGATAAGGAGAGATCCCGAAAGCAAGGCGCGCCTGGCGAGCTTCCTCCGACAGGGCCAGGCAGGCGGCGCGTGAGCACGGTGGGTCCCCGCGCGTCACCTTCTTTCTGGTCGGGACGACTTTCCTGCCTCACAAGGGCATGTGTGGAGCTCCTTAACGTGGAGAGACTCTCCGCCTCCAGGCTCTCAGCCGGCACCAGTTTCAAATGGCAACGAGACAGGCGGACGAGTCTAGGGAGGGGCGAGGGGCGGGGCGAGAGCCCGCTCCAGAGCCTGCAGTTTCGGCGCTCCAGGCGCAGGGAATCGAGCACTGAGCGCCTCGATGGGTTCGGAATAAATGTCTCGCTGTTAGTCGGGCCGCCATTTTAGAAGGAGAGCGGAGCGGGCGGCTCTGAGTGAGGGACTAACCCTCGGAGCGGCCGGACGGCGGCGGCGACAGCAGCACCCGAGAGGCGGACAGGTACTGGGCCGGAGCTGCGTGTGAGGGCAGGGAGGGGCGACCGGGAGGGGGGTGTTGTAGCTGGAGCTCCGGGCAGTGAGGTTAAGTCGTCCCCGGAGATGGGGAAGGTGCCGCTGTGTCGAGGTGTGTCTGCATATGTACACAGCGGGTGGCTGGGAAGGACAAGCCGTTGCGGGGAAGGAGCTGCTCGCCGCCGCTGCTTGGACGGCGCCGTCTGCTCCGTCTGAGGGAGAGCGAGCTGCTGTGGGTTCCCCCGGGGTGTAGCTAGCGGTCAGGGGGCTTGTCCCCGTCCCCTGCTGCGCGTGAAACCCGTCCGCTTTCCTCGCCCACTGCGGATGGGCACTCGCTTGAGCCCCCGAAACTGCCTCAGTCTGCGGAGCGAACCCCGCTTTTGACATTATTCCACTTTCGGGCCCTCCGCTCTTCTTGCTTGTTGCCTTTCTTCCTTGCCTGCTTCTTCCTCATTTATTTTACTTTTCGGGTGGGGAGAGGGCACCGCCGCGCACCCTCCTGCTCTTTAGGGAACGCGCGCGCAAGTCCGTGTGTGCGTGTGCGTGTGGCTGGCAACGTAGGCATCTGCACTGGCGTCCAGCAGCGCGATGCAGCAGGTCCTCCGCTTTATTGACAAGGGTGGGAATGGATGCTGTTGCTGCCGCCGCCTCTGGTCAGTATCACCCAGCGGGCGCTTTGGCGGGTTGATGCGACGTCTGGCTGTTTTGGTGGCTGAGTGCCCGGCTGATTTCAATACTAGTTACACTTCGCCTGATTGCCTTCTCGTTCCTCACCCCACATCCTGCCACGAGTTGGTCAGATGTGGTGGATTTGGGCCAGTGGTTTATGATACAGTGTAGAGCAGTGCTGCTCCTCACAAGTGCCGCCCTTCTTTGAAATGCGTCCGTCTGTCGTGCGGTAGCAATAGAAGCGGCATTCTCTGGACGCATCTTTTACGGTGCAATCTGGTACATCATGATGCAGAATCAGGAGCCATTTATTTCAGGGGCACCAACTCTCTGATAAGTATGGGGTTGCACTACTGCCCTCCTGCCAAGCCCTCCTGGCTAGGTCTTCTTTAAAGCCAAATGCTTAAAAACCGTCATAGATGAGGTAATCTGTGAGATGGGAGAGTGTTTTAAGGTAGATGGAACTAAAGCACGAACCTAGTAATATTCTATAGCACACTTGCATAAGGCTGTATAGAAGGCAAGGTAAAGCCATATGTGAGGAAAACAGAAAATATCTAGAGAGAACAGTTATCAGTACTTGTATGTCTATCATAAATCTTTATGGATGGAAGAGACACATAGTCTTTGTTTGAACCTACTCAGAGTTTCTGAAATCAACTGATCCTGATTTATGTAAGATAAAACATGGTTAGGTAATGCAAACCAAGTCAGTGATAGTAGTATAAACAAGATTGTCTTGAGTTTTGTTTTGTTTTGTTTTTTACTGTAGTGAAGAAATCATGCATATGCAAACAAGTGCATATTTTCTCTCTCTATGTGGTATAATAATGCCTCTTAATGGAGTATTCATAGCAGTGTTTAATTGGAACTCCCAGCACTTACAGTAAATGTGCCTAAGATTGTAGCCTAAAGGAAACTATGTTAATATGGGCGCAAAACTTTGGATTTAATGTTGAACTAGAAAAGTGGCAAAAACTATGGGAAAGAAACATTAAAGTAACTTTAGCAACTTTGTATAAAGAAAACTTATATAAAATGTTCTATAGATGGTATTTGTCACCAAGTCAACTAGCTAAGATGTTTCCAAATATGTCAAATAAATGTTGGAAATGTAAACATAAA